CAGCTTGGCATGCATCCCCTCCCTTCCCAGCATGCCTGGCATTTTTAAATTTCTGCTTTTCCTGCCTTCGGATCCAGCCCTCCTTCATTATAAAGTTTGTGTGCATCTCCAAACAGGCTGCCTAACAAATGATTTATTTTTATTTTTATTTTTTTCCTCAGCAACTCAGAATTTTTTGACTGCTGCATTTTTCCTATCTAAAAATAAACATGGGAGAGACTGAGAAATGTGCTACTGAATGATTAGGTAGAGATATGTCGGTGGCTTTTCTTGATTAATGGATTTACACTGTACATTACCCATAGGCAGCTTTCAAGCGTCTTTCCATAAAACAAGGTAATTTGCTCAAAGGGCAGTGTCCTGCAGAGAACCGATAAGCAGGAGGTACCTGGGGGGTGTGTGTGTGAAGGTCTAGGTGGGGAGAGCCAGGATGTACAGTCATTTTGCCCTGCTGGTCACAGCCACTGCTGCAGGCACTTGAGGAATGCAGGATGTGCCCCAAATAGGTCTTGACAAACATTCCCCGCTGCAGTCATTTCAGCCTTTCCCAGCATTCCTATTAGCTCTCGCTGACAGCAACAGGATTTTTGTAACCGGGACTGCAGCAGAGCACAAATGCTTTATTGCCCTTTTCGTGCCAGCCCAAATGTGAAGGTAAAGACTTGCTGTACTGACTCAGATGGGAGGTTGGACAAGCCTGGGCTCCCATCTCTGGCAGTGGCCAGAGAAGCTCTAGAGAGTCACAGAACAACAGAAATAGAAAGTAATCCTTTTCCCCACTCCGTCCTCCTTGCAAAGTGAGTGTCTCCAGCTCTGGCATCTATTCTAAGATAAGAAAGAGCAACCTAAAGAAATGGGGTGGTGAGGAGAGAGGCGTTCTCTTCAAAGTACCAGTTTTCTGATCTGGTGCCAAGTGCTACAAATGTACCTGCCAAATGCCCGTGTGATGGGACTTGTCCTAGGGCTTTACAGCATCACACCCCACTGTCTGTGCCTGCTCTTCTGCCTCTGTTGGAGACAGTAGGTTCCTCTGATGTTGAGACCACTGCCCAGCCTGAGCAAAACTCCTGCTGCTCCTGACTGCAGGGCATGTCTCTGGAGCATGAAGGAGCAGGAGAGCCCTGTCTATGCCTTTAGCAGGACAAGACATTAGTGAGAGCTGTAATTTCTTGTTGGCTAGCTGAGACTGGTGAAGGACCCATAGGCTGCACAGGGAGACAGCCTGTTTCACAGTAATGTGCTCTTTGTCACAGCCACTCGCGGATTGAGACCCCCCTTCTGAAAGTTAGGGTAGATGCTGGGCTGGTCCTGTAGTTCCTATCGTCTGTTTATGACCAACCTTGCACCATCCTGCTGTTTCCTCAATGTGCGGAGCCACACTCAGCCTAGTTATAAATCTGCTAAAGGTTGTGGCATCATTGCCATGCTTCTCTAAGGCACTGGAGCCTGGATAATCCCACCTTAGGATAAGGCCTCCTGAACTACCTGTATATTTACTACAGAAAATGCATGAGAGATGGAGGCAGAAGAGTGACTCCAAGTTGAAAGCCAAAACTCTTTGTTTCCATGAGATGCCAGGTTTCTTAATTGAACAGTGCTCTTCTAGCCTTTCCAGTTGTATAACATGGGTATTAAAGCAAAGGAAATATTTTGTCCATTTTTTTTTGTCAAAAGGTTTAAAGTTCACTGGATGGTGGTCTTCTGTCTTGGACATTTTCTTTGACTCCTGAAAAAAAACCTTCTAAAGCTTTTAATTTCAAAAGTAACCATTGTCTGGAAGAATCAGCTTTTCTTCTGTGTCATTAAACCCAAGTCTGAATTCCTGGAGTTGTTTCCAAAAGAAAGTGTCCATAGGCAGGTGCTATTTGCCATCTGATTCAGATCTTTGGCAGTTCCCACCTTCAAGCAAGCTTCCTTGGTGCAGCGATGTGCTGTGGGTCTGTTAAGCAGGCAAACACTGTTCCCAGCTTCAAAGAAGTTTCAAGTACCAAACACACCAGGGTGTCCTGCCAGCTCCATAAGGCAGACTGCAGGCTAAGAAGGTCAGAAACAACTTAGACACACCTGGAAACACTCCTAATGAATGAGAGCCTCATCTCTGTTGCTCAAGGTGTCCAGGAGCTCTGCAAAGATTTGAACAATGTGTGAGCCAGACAGGTGTGGCTTCAGCAGCTTGCATACCCCAAGAAACTCAGCAGGCTAATATCATGCAGCTAATGCTTGTGCATGTCTTAATTTGCTTGCATGTATGTCTCTCTAGCCCTTGTGTAGGGAGAGAAGATCTTTGCTCTTCCAGGTAACCAGATGCAGAAAGAAAGAAAAAAATCCATGGTTGTGTTCAAAGAAGGGTGAAAAGCCATGTCTGCTGGCATCAGGCTGGGAGACGCTCAGAATCCTCCTGTTTCACAGGAGGGTCACTGCTGCCAGTGGCACAGCTCTTCTCCTGCCCTTCCTGTCCACCCTGCCCACCCTCAGCAACGGCATCTTCCATCCCAAGATGCCCATCTTCTCTGAACTGACCTTGTGTGGCTGTGGAACATCTTTATAGAGTAACGTTAGTTTTGGAGAAAGACTTCGGCTGCTTTTGAGAATTAAGCACTTTTAAAGCATCTCTAAGTGAGCAAAGCTTGCAGTGCTTGCCATCATTGGCCAATGTTATGTAGGTTTATAATGCTCTGTACGTGTGTCCCATTGTTGGTTTTACTTCCTAGCTATGTGTTCAAAGAGTATTGTTTCTTTTGCTGTGAGTCATAACAGCACAGTCTGGAGAGAGAACATTGCTATGCCCAGTGAATATGGAGGTTTGACACTTTTGAAGAAGAGCAGTGGAAATCAGAAGGCTGTGAAGGGGTTACCCATTGTATGTGTAGAGACTGGCAACTGGGGGGGGAAAAGGGCAATGGGGAGAGTGCACATAAGCAATGGCTATAGAGTTCCTCAGCCTCTTTTAGCAGAAGGGTGGAATGTACATGGGCTCACTTTAATCCCTTTATTTGAAGGATAATTAAGGTTTGAAGTCTTACCTAAGTGGGTAACGTGGTTATGATGCTCAGAAATGGAGCCCAATGCTGAGATGTTCCCTGCAACTCAGGGTTTCCACAGTGGTACTGCAGGTGGGACCAGCTTTGGGCAGGCATCTGCACCAGTCGCTGCCACTTCTGTTCTGAGCCCTCATTAATAGCATTTTCTCCCTCATGAGAAAGCCTGAAAGGAGGTTGTAGCAAGGTGAGTGTCGGTATCTTGTCCCAAGTAACAACTGATAGAACAAGAGGAAATGGCCTCAAGTCACACCAGGGTGAGTTTAGGTTGGATATCAGGAAAGATTTCTTCACTGAAAGGGTTGTCAGGCACTGGAACAGGCTGCCCAGGGCAGTGGTGGAGTCACCATCCCTGGAGGGATTTAGAAGACATGTAGATGTGGTGCTGAGGGACATGGTTTAGTGGTGGATTTGGCACTGCTGAATTAATGGTGGACTTGATCTTAAAGGTCTTTTCCAACTAATGTGATACTGATGAGATTTAAATTATTTTGGTGATTTTGATGCAGAGCAATGGCATTGTAGATCCTGTGCTATTATTGATTTACTAGTATTGATTTTCAGCAGGGGTAATGGGCAGCCACCGCTAACCTCACCATTCATCACTTGGCACTCCTCAGAAGTGGACATTCTCTGGACAGTTTCTTGCTCACTGATGCTGCAATACACCCTACTCTTTCTGGTGCAAAGGCAGTGTTCCTCCTCTGTTCTCTACTGGCATCTGCAGGAAAGAAAATCTTCAGTTCCAGGCTGAAATAACTCCTGTGGTAGCTTTATGCTTTTGGTGTATTTGGAGCAGACATCAGACTAGAACCAGGCCTTCTGCCTAATTTGCTTTAGAAGTGGGGTTATTACCACTCACCATGTGTTTTAACAGCCACAGGGAGCCTGAACAACACCTTGGCAAATGAGTTCTTTCATATTTAAGACCCATGTTTTTACAACTGGTTCTCTGTAGTGTCACACCTTGAAATCGGGCTCACGGGTGTTGTGGGGAACATGGCAGGTGCATCTACAGGGCTATATTTGACTTCTGGTACTTTTTATTACTGCAAGTGTCAGTGTCATGCCTGAAATTAGATGATGCTTGTAACAAAGCCAGGCACACCTTGTTCTGCTGCTCTCAGTCCTTTTACCAGCACTGCTGAAAGACACAGTTTAGCTGGGAAGTAGCTAAGGAAGTTACTAAGGAAGTAGCTGGGCCAGAGGGGATGCCAGGGCTAGGCATCTTGGTTTGGTTGCCAGTCCTTTCAAGTGAGACTTGACCACAAACTTGTGAACCTCAGGCACCTAGGAACTGTGATTTATTCCTTAAAGCTGGTATATCCCCTGACACAGAAACTGCTTTAACCCCTTTAGTGACAGTTTGTAGCACAAATCCTGGCTGCTTAATTGGATTTATCATGGCTATTGGGAGCATAAATGTGTTTACAGATTTGTTGTGAAAGCTTTTCTGTGTGTTTTTCACATAGCAAGTCAACTTCCATGTGGTGCAATTATGCTCAAGATGTTCCCTGTAGCCCTGGAGTGGTGTCAGATTATACTGTGTGTGCATGTTGTTCTTCAAAAGGATTTTGTCTGAGGCACGATGGGCTGTGTTGAAGGGAGAAAAAGAGCTTTGTCTTTATTAAGAAAAGCATGCAAAGCTTAAAACACAAGAAATTCTGTCAAAACCTGTTGTTTTATTAAAGAGAGATGCTTGTCTCTGTCTACTGAAAAGTGAAACTTTTTCCCCATTAACTCCCCGCTCCATCCAACTCTGCCAGAGTCCAACCATCTGCAGCTTGCTCCCTTTGTGCTGCTGCCTTTTGTCTCTGAAATGTTTGCTTCAGCCCTTCAGCAGA